CTAGTAGCGATGCCCTTTGTTCCTAGTAGCGTTCTTGCTCCTAGTAGTAGAACACATCAGATGAAACGAAATCACCAGGGATTGTCACTCTCAAAACGGACAGGTCACTGCCACTGTCGGTCTCCTGCTCGGGTAAGCTCTCGATCGCCTGCGCAATGCTTCTTGGTGCCCCCCCGCGAGTCCTTTGTGTTGACAGAAAGAACCCAAATGTCAAAAATGACTACCCTGCCTTGAGTGCTGAAGGAGATTCTCTCACCTGACATCAGCTTTCGCTCAAGATCCATCTATCGGCGAGCTGAACACCATCGAATGCAAGGGATTGTGAGCCTCTTCATCGCCCAGATTGAACAATGCCTGGAAGGGAGGGACGGACCAACTCAAGACTCGAGCACTTCTTCAGTCCTCCAACCTACTAGCGGCGGCCTCCAACCTACTAGTGGCCTCCAACCTAAGAGCGATGGCCTCCAACCACGATGGCCTCCAACCTACTAGCGATGGCCCTGTGGCTGGGTAAATCATGTTCTCTAGAAACAGCAGTTTATTGTTGTAATTTTATGAGTCGCACCATGAAAAGCATCATGCCAAAACGATCCAATGTCATGTATTTGTTTGGCCAATAATGCCACAAAGAACTCCCCGCCACGTGCCTTGCAACTCTTGTGCGCTTTGGGCCGTTTCTTCGGGCTGGGGGCCAGCATCTTCCGAAGCAAATGCTGGGTGCCACTGCGCACCTGTCACTTTGCCGTGAACAAATAAAGAAAGCAGGAGGCCATCGCCATCTTTGCCATGATTGCTAGTAGCTTGGAGGCCATCGCTATTAGGTTGGAGGCCAGTAACAAGGACGCTACTAAGGGGGAGGCCATCGCTATTAGGTAAACAACGAAACTTATGAGAGAAGGATGTTAGAGCCCTTGTCCCCGCTCCAGGTTTGGTGCAGCAAGAAACCTCCATCCTCCGCACCTGCTTAGCCTTTGGGTGATTGAACCGGGCTTTTCCAGCCATCGTCCGCTGAAGGGTGGCGCCTGGGGCGATGCGTTCCGCGGCCCACCGGCGTTCGTTTCTAGTAGCAAGAATGCTCCGTTCGTAGCGATGTGAGGAGCCCCGTTCGTAGCGTTGTTGCTCCTAGTAGCGATGCCCTTTGCCCCTAGTAGCTTCTTGTTCCTAGTAGTAAGGCCAGGAGCCCCTAGTAGCTTCTTGTATGTATAAGAATTAACACAAAGGGGCCGGAGTTGATGTCTCGGAAGGCTTCGATGTATAGAATTAAACAATGACTTTAAAATAATGTGTTCCACCGGGTGCACCGAAATTAAGACCCGAGTCCACACCGTGACTTCGACACTTCCCTACATATTGCACACATTTCTGTTCACGCATTCTGGTCAAGGGGCCGGAGTTGATGTCTCGGAAGGCTTCGATGCCCGAGTAAAGAAGGAACATTACACAGCCCACGCTGAAGACGTCACCTGGGAAACGATGGAAACGGAATAATCCGAGGACCGATTCTGACTAATTCTGTGGTCGGCCCTTGCGAAACGGAAAGAAATACACTTGGATCTTCAAGTGTTGGGTTGCGATTTAGAAAGCATGGCACAACATCGAAAACACATGCTTCCCCAAGGACCCTTCTTCATGCTTTTCACTCTGAGCAAAGCAATGTTGAAGTTGTATCTCCAAGAAACTGAGGCTTCCATAGCCCGGGCTTCCTCGGAAAAAGATTGAATAAGATTGAACAAATGTGACACACTCGTATACAACACTCGCTCTTGTGGGACAGGGACACGACACTGTGAGTCAGCCTCTTGTGGGAAGGTCTTTCGGACTGGGATCCGGATGCTCTTGCGCGAGACGATCGTCGGGCACGAGAGTGCCCTGCGTGACACTCTTGCAGGGCACTTGCGTGACGTTTTCGGCAGAACTTCCAGCAACACAACCGCTCCGGGGCGCCCTCCTCCGGTAGCAAGCAGCCAGCCGAAAACAAACTTTCGCTCGAGTAAGACGGGCTTCCGAAACGAGCGCTTCGTTCTCGAGACTTCCCTTTAAGAAGTTCGACAATCTCCAAAGACCTACGATGGAGACATGACGAGACTTTTCAAACGAAATGAAGACTTCCCCAGCTTTAGAGGCACTGCAGTGCAGTCGTCACCTGCAAAGGGCCACCCGACAGCCCCACAGCCTGCGACCAGTCACGGCACAGCCCTAGTCACCGTGGCGACCCCCGGACGCACCTCCAACAGACGCAACAAACTGGCACCAATAAGTTCACAACACCTCTCTTGTGTACAGCAAAAAATGCATCATGTATCATCATGTTACACTGCTGGGATCATTTTGGACACTTCACTGTCTCGCCAGCAACAGCTGCAAATTGACCTGAGCCTTGTCGGCCTGTCAAGCGCAGCTTCAAAGAAAAAGATCGAACAATGCCGGTAGCACAGCATCCAACGCATCCCACACACCAATGAACCTTCCGACCTTACAAAAAACTGCACAAACAAACATACAAATCGGAATCGGAACACGCTTCCAAGTCACGTTTCCAAGTTGTTTCACACGAATCGGGCACTTTGTTCATCCAAGACCGGAAGGGGATCTCGTTGACAGCTGCGCAGACAGCGTCTCCAGGTGCCAAAGCAACGTCAAAAGCGCGCGCAAAGTCACCAGACCCGAACTGAGGAAACATCAAGACGACCATAAGTGCCACGCTAGTAGTAACAAGTGCCTTACTAGTAGTAACAAGTGCCTTACTAGTAGTAACAAATGCCTTACTAGTAGTAACAGGTGCCTTACTAGTAGTAACGAGAAGCTAGTAGAAACAAGTGCCTTACTAGTAGACATTCGTAGCGATGCCCTTTGTTCCTAGTAGCGGCCTTTGTTCCTAGTAGCGATGCCCTTTGCCCCAAGTAGGCTAAGACATTCGGAAATTCACCGACCATGTAAGAAGAACACATGTATTCAGTGCGTTACTTTGAGTTCATGTCAGATTCATGATTCATGTCATTCTTTGTCCTTTCTGTGGCCGCAACACGTTCTCTGACTTTCTCCCAAGGTTCGGGTGTCCAAAACCTCTGGCGCCACATAGCCAGCAGTGCCCAGCCTTCGTTCCACAGGCCACAGAATCTCTAGCCTCCCAACCTCCTGTGAAACCCTGTGCCTGATGTTGTGCACTGCCTAGAACGGGGACGTCTGGGGCCAAATCCAAGAGAAGGGGAAACCACACCCCAGCCTGGCTTGAGATTGAAACCAATCCCTTCACATCGTTCCATCAGTTGGCATAATAAAACATCCATAAACCACCACATGAGACCAACTCGCAAAGCTCCGCAAAATAGACAAATTGCTCAACTCGTCTTAGACCTAATTCATCCTAATTCTGAGCGGATATTATAAAACAACCCAAACACCCAACACTTGTTTCTACCAACAATGCTTTATTTGAAGAAGGGGGCCCCTTCAGCACAGGTGGTGGGGACCATGGACAATCACACACCAAGAATCAAACGGGTGTCTCTTGGCACACATTCTGCACAGTGAAACTCTATAAAGTCAAAATAAGTCAAACTTCATGACCTTCTCAAAAACATGATTCCGATCTCTCTCTAAACTCAAGGGTGTTTACCTTGGACATTTACTCAAGGGAAGCCATTACAACCGCTTCAGAATCGGGTCTCGAATCATCTCGAATCTACCCTGTGCTCTGTATATGTAGGTAGATAAAACCAGTCATAAAAAGATCGTTCTCATGTGATGATTTGCTTGAGGTATCTTTATCGAGTTTGTAAGAGGACATGCATCCGCGAGTTCGCAAACTCGTCACGCGAGTTCGCATCCGCGCTGTTTGCTCTGTGCCTCCGCATCATGGCCACAGAGTCTCCCAAATGCGCTGCTTGGCCTGGCGCAGATGCGCTGGCGCAGTCAACGCACTTGGCCACAGAGGTCAGAACTGGCCCGTGTCTTTTCCCCTTCTCGATGCGTCACACTGCCGCAGGCTTCTGCAAGGGTCCAGGAGGTAGTTCCCTAACGCATCCGACTCCATTCCAATCTGCCAAAAGCGAGGTGGTGTGAAACACCGAAAAGCAACTAGCTTCTTGTTACTAGTAGTACTAGTATTAATGCCCTTGTTACTAGTAGCGTCCTTTCTGCCGTTCGTAGCGATGCCGGCTCCGATTTCCTGACATCTCAAGGTTTGGCACGTCGATGTCTTCCAACCTCCGGGACCCTTCGGAAAAACGGTGGAGCTTTACGGTCTGATTGATCAGACCGTTCTCACCGTGGAGCACCGTGGAGCATCCTGCCGACCTCGCCACCTGGAAAGAACGACCTTCGGAGTGTCGAATGGTCTTGTTTAGCTTCTGGTTCTAGTACAGTAGTAAGAATGCTCCGTTCGTAGCGATGCCAGGAGCCCCCTTCGTAGCGTCCTTGCTAGTAGAAATGCCCTTTGTACCCAAGAAAGGATCCTTCAGCAAGAAACTCAAATCAATTGGGCAAGACCCTTGGAGCTCGGACTTGTTGATCTCTTCCGAGATCCAAAAATACGATTTGCTTTGGGCCGCTTGGCCCATGGTGTCTCAAAACCATGACTCCCGTTTTAAAGACAGTCCCTGGCTAAACAATCAGTCTCGAATTGTTCAACTTTAGTCTGACTTTGTCTTTTCCATTGTAACGCGAACATTTTCTTCAATTCATTGTTTCAACCCAGCACAGTTCGAAGATTTGAGAGCTATGACTTAATGGTATACATTGTAACAATATAGAAATCATTGAGGGAAACGCTCGCGTTACAAAACGCCACTCACGTTGGAGGCGCAGGCAGGGAGTTTGTCATGGCTCTTCGTTCACGGCATTGGGCAGGCTTTGCAAGTTTTGCCATGCCAGCAAATTGTCCTCGCAAACGAAACACGTGAACGGGCCGAGCAGCTACCGCTAAACGATGTCAGGCCAACATGCCTCATGCCAACAAACAGAAACTATGTAAATTTAAATAGATTTAGAGGAGACGCTCCCTAGGACCGTTTGCAAAAAAAATGTGAAGCCCCCTGGAACCTACATCCACTACGGCTGAAGAGCGGTTCAAAACATGTCAGAACCTTGTCAGAAGACATGCGCAGTTGATGTTTTAACAGAGACTTGATGTCACAACACACGTCAGAAACATGCAAAAACAAAACACATGTCGGTTTATGGGAGAGAATCATGTCAGAACAAGTGTCGGAGCACATGCAAGTTGTGATGTCAAACAAATGTCCGTATATACATACATGCCAGAACATGTGTGTCACAACACGTGCAAGACTGCAAGAATTGATGTCACAGCATATGTCAGAATACATGTTTACGTCGTCAGAGCACGTGTCAGCTAACATCGAAACTCATGCAAGACTTGATGTCACAACATATGTCCGAATGCATTCCAGAACAAATGTCAGATTGCATCGTCAGAGCATATGTCAGTTTTGCGGCATGCCAGAACCAATTTGAGAACACGTGCCAGACTTGATTTCAGAACGGGTGTCAGAATACATGCCAGAAGACATGTCAGAACAAGTATCAAAACACACGCAAGCATTGATGTCAGAACACATGTCAAACTACATGCCAAAACGAACGTCACCTTTCATCGTCAGCACACATGTCAGCTCATATGTCAGAACAAAGGTTGCATGCCAAACAATGTGCCAAAACACATGTGAGACTTGATGTCGGTCAGAACACACGCCGGAATACATGCCAGAACACATTTCAGATTATATACATGTCAGAACACATGCAAGATTACATGTCAGTCTGTCCCACGTCCCACAACAAATATTAGATTGCATGGTCCAATCATATGTCAGACCATGTCAGAGCTTACGTCAACAAATGTCACAATGACAGACTTGCTGCAACAAGTGTCAGGACAATCTGTCAAGGACTTGCTGCCCTTCCGTTCTTGGAGTTACCTCTTGTGGTGGGGTGGTTTCTTAAAGTGATGGGTCATTCGTTCGCGTCGAGCAGCGACAAAGAAATCTGATCCTGGCACGGGGTTTGGTTCCCATTTTGTGGCAGAAACGAAGCTCAGAAAGAATATCGAACAAACGCACAATAACATGCTGTATTCATCTGTATTCAATATTTGCAATTTATATCTCCTTCCAAACTAGGCAAGTCAAAAATTGGTTGGCTTGCTGAAACATAGGAAAACCTACAGAAATAGCAGCAAAAGAAAACAAAACGCCAAAGTACAAGCTAGTATTGTTTTCCTTGTGGAGTGTCAGTCGCGCCTTTATTTTCTGCTGATGGTTAGCACTTGGCATACCGGAAGCTTCAACGACAATTGGCACAGGCAATCTGTTTTTGCAGTGAAAATCCAAGTGAGTTTCCCACTACAATTCACCAAAAACACAGGTCCCCGCAGCGGAGGGGAAGCAATAGAAAAAGGAACACTCTCGGGATGAGTCGAGATCAGCTCAAACTACGAACGGGGCTCCTGGCATCGCTACTAGGAGCAAGGACGCTACTAGGGGCTCCTGGCCTTACTACTAGGAGCATTCTTACTACTAGCAACAAGAAGCTACTAGGAGCAAGGGCATCGCTACTAGGAACAAGAAGCTACTGGGGGCTCCTGGCATCGCTACGAACGGAGCATTTGGAGCTTTCCAGAAAGAAGCCGTCCTAAACCCAACCTAATCCTCCATGTACACAAAAAGTCTCAGTGGGCGAAACCGAGAACGAACAGAAGTGAAATGGAGCATCTCCTGACACTCCGCTAGCAGCCGAACCGCCACACCCAATTGAAAGCCTCAGGGCGGCACTCCAGAAAAGCCAAAAGCAACACCGAAAAAATCGAACAAACTGTAACAAAGAAGCAATCCAAAGTTGAGTTCAAGGTCCGTCTGAAACTCGTGCAGTCCGTCTGAAAAATCAAGAAACGTCTTGGCCTTCTGTCCATTCATCCTGTTCGTCGGCGACAAAGAGACGCTTCGGCCGTTGGTCCAAGCGGCTGGAGGAGTGGTTGAGCTTCGGCCGGCTAGGATCGGTCTCACCCATGCTCATGGTGTGTGACTCCCTGACCGGATGAGAGAAACAAGCAATTTAGTTACAAGTGCCACGCTACTAGTAACAGGTGCCTTACTACTAGTAACAAAAAGCTATCAATTTAATAGCGAACCTTGTTACTACTAGTAAGGCACTTGTTACTAGAAGCGTGGCACTTGTTACTAGTAGCTTCTTGCTCCTAGTAGCGATGCCCTTTGT